TCAAGACATCACATTTGTTGAACCTCTCAGATTATTTGCATCATGGATGCAAATATGAACATAAATCCTCAGACAATATCTTCACAGAGTCCATCCATTCAGAAAGGGTCAGTTCAAAACGAAGATCTTGGGTTATCAAACATTCTGCCCCTGGTAGAGTTACTATAGCCAAAGTGCTATGTTACTATTACTGTTCCAGATCAGATCATACTAGTTAATTTTCCTGCTTTAATCACTGTATAGAAGACAATCATCTTCCCTGGTTTAGGCAACTAAAGCTAGATTCTATTTGATTCTTGTCTCCAGACAACATTTTTAAGTCAGGAACTTCTGCATATCATCTCTGCAGTTTGAACTTCTTTGACCATTCTGTTAAAAGCTATTCAATGCTTTCAATGCTGCAGTCTTTTCCTCTTCATACTGTACTTTGTCTTCTGTTTGTTTGTTTTCTGTGGGGTTTGTTTGGTTTGGGTTTTTTTTTTGTTAAGTAATAATGCAAATTCCCTCATTAAAAGAAGTTAAACAAAATATGAATACACTAAGTGACCTACCCAAATATCCCATGCAAAGATGTAAATTTGTGGCATTAGCTTGGTATGACAGAAACACAGTAAGATACTAATATTTCAAAAACGTCAATTTATTCTAGTACTAGAGAGAGATTCCTTGAGGAAATTACTTCATGTACGACCTACATATGGAGGTTCTTTGGAAACAGGAAGAACCTATGTAAATAGTGAACATATGATAAGTCTGCCTTACTTCTTGTGCCTCCTCATCATTAAAACAAGTCACGTTCACATGGTGCAACAGATGCTTCCTGAGGTGGATAACCTCCCACAACACAACTAAAATCTCAGTTAGTAATATTACATTCTCTCTTTCAGTTAACCATTTACAGCATATCTCTTGAACCAGTTTAAACAATTGCAATCTTGTACATATTAATAATAAATAACAGCAGGATCTAGATCTGATAGAAAAATTCATATTAGACTGCCCTAACGATAAGCATAGGTTTGGGGGTTTTTTCACCTCCTTCCTTTTTCCTTTTCTCTGCCGTACCATACCAAAAAATAAAGAAGAAAAAAAAAATCTAACTAGTCTGTGCTCAGACTAGAGCCCCTCTAACTTCCTTAGAAGACTTCAACAAATCCCTCATGTGTTTCCATAACTATTAAATCCTGTGCTAAAAATGTAGATCAGGTTTCCCCACATTAATGTCGTCAAGGTCAAATACAAGCTTCTTTCCAGCCCATATAAAGTAGGTCCAAGAGGCTTCCAGTATCAGATCATTTCTGAGAAAATAAGAAATTTCTTCTAACAAGTTCAAATTTTCTTATATCCTAAAAAAACTCCTTCTCTACAGAATGATTTTATGTGACCCTTCATTTTACAGAGGAAAAACAAACTACAACATAAAACAGGGCATGAAAACATTAGGAAAAATAAACTGTGTGCAGATGAAGTGTCTGAAATCACCGTTGGGAGTTAACTGGATTAGCAAATTAAAATAGTTAAAATAAATAGTTCACCTTTAGTTCTTTTTACCTTCCCTCTCAAAATAACTTATTTACAAGAACTTCCTTCCTTGGTGTAAATATACACTTGTAATAGTGTTGTAGTGCTGGTGAAACAGCAGAAAGTTATTCTACTTTGTGACATTCTTCCTGCCAAATATAAAGCTGAGGAATATCCAACCAACATACTCAATATGCTGCTCTTCCAGGACTCTTGCAAGTAAAAACCATGCAGCATAAAACAGAAAATCCATTCCCTGCTGTTAAGTAAAATCCCTGCATTTCATGTAAGCTTTACTTCTAATAAAGATTTTTTAATTATCAGTCCTCATTTTTAATCAAGGCAAGCAGCACTACCCACTGTGACAGAACAAAAAAAAATCTGGTTCTGAAATAGTGTATATTAGGATATACTTAGCGTATATTCGGACCTACTGTAATCAGAGAACTATGTAACTGTGTTGTTGAAATGTAGATCTTTTAAGTTATTGTAAAGATCCAGTAAAAGCACTACTAAGTAAAAGAAGAACATACAAATTACTAGCTGAACTTGCAATTAAACTGCATTTCTTATTAATTTCAGACTTGCATTTAATGTCTTAGAAGAAAACACCCTATGCAAATACATATTTATCACCAATTTGCATGGAAAATATATGTAGAGCTACGTTGCAGGGAGGGGGTTATTAAATATTTCTTCAATAGTTTAAAATGAACTAGCAGAAACAAGGGCTACATTTCAGTCATCTTATTTTATGCACAATGAGTAGTTTGAATACACAGTTTCACTCATCTGTCACTACCGCAGCTGAAACAGCATCCCCTCATCAACTGTTCTAATTTCAGCCTCTTAAACAGGTCTTAAGAGTAGCTTCTGTTGCTTCCTCTGGAACAGGAAGAAACTTAAGGTCAGATATAAAGATGGTCCACTGAAAACCAGGACAGATCTTCTGAATACTACTAAAAAATTTCCAATGTATAAATATTTCTGTATTTTCTTCTAACTTTCTCAGCTTCCATGTATAACAAATGCAGTACAAGTCAAGAGAATCAATCAAAGTGCTGGGAAGTTCATTAGGAAGATCACACTCCATCACTGATGTTTCAGTTTTCAGACTGGACTGTGCCTATCCCAAACATTAATGACAACCACCCAACATTCTGCAATAACAGAGCTAAACTATCTCCATTATATTAGAAAAGCCATGGTAGTCAGGTAAAATCCCTAACTGAGAAAAGGGAAACATCACTCCTATTTAAAATGAGAAGAAAGGAAGACAGGGGAACTAAAGAACAGTGAGTCTCAGCTCTGTGTCTGGAGCAGATCCTCAAGGAAACAATGTTAAGGCACACACAGTGATGTGATTCGAGACAGCCAGCACTGCTTCGCTAAGGGCAAATCGTGTCTAACCAACCTGGTGGCCCCAGGGTGACTGCAGCACTCAGAGAAGGAACATGAACCCATGCTGTCTACCTAGACTTCTGAAAGGCTTCTGGCATGATCCCACATAACATCCTTTTCGCCAAATTGGAGAGAGATGGCTTAAAAGGGTGGACCATTTGGTGGATAAGGAACTGGCTGAATGGACATAGCCCGAGTTGAGGTCAGTGCTCCATGTCCAGGTGGAGGCCAGTAATGAGTGGTGCCCATCAGGGACTTCTGTCAGGACAAGTGCTCTGTGATATCTTCATCAATGACAGACAGTGAGATCAAATGCACCCTCAGCAAGTTTACAGATGACCCAAAGCTGAGCAGTGCAGTTGGCACAACAGAAAGAAGGGATGTCACCCAGAGGGGCCTAGACAATCCTGAGAAGTAGGCCCAGGAGAACCTCCTGAAGTCCAAGTGCAAGGTACTGCACCTGGGTTGGGCCAAGCCAGACATGAGCACTGACTGAGAGAACTCACTGAGAGCAGCCCTGCGGAGAAGGACTTGGAGGTTCTCATGGATGAAAAGCTGTACGTGAGCCAACAGTGTGCACTCACAGTCCAGAAAGCCAACTATATCCTGGGCTGCATCAAAAAAGTGGTCAGCAGGTCAAGGGAATTGATCTTCCCCTTCTATTCTGCTCTTGTGAGACCCCCACCTGGAGTACTGCATCCAGTTCTGGGGTCCTCAGCACAAGAAACACATTGACCTGTGTCAATGTCCAGAGGAAGCAAGTCCAGAGGAAGCCACCAAGATGCTCAGAAGGCTGGAGCACTTCTCCTATGAAGACAGACAGAGAGCTGCAATTGTTCAGCCTGTAGAAGGCCCCAGGGAGCTCTTATTGTGACCTTCAGTACTTAAATGGAGGGTATAAAAAAGAGGGAGAACAACTTTTTACACAGGCAAGTAGTGATAAGACAAGGGAGAAAGGTTTTAAACTAAAATAGAAGAGATTTAGATTACATGTTAGGAATAAATTCTTTACTCAGAGGACAGTGAGGCACCAGAACAGGTTGCTCAGAGAAGCTGTGGATGTCCCATCCCTGAAAGAACTCAAGATCAGGTTGGATGGGGCCTGTTGATGCTGCTTGCACACAGGCACATAGAAAAGTAAGTAGCATCATATTAAACTTGACAAATGATAATTCATAACCTAACTCATTCCGGGAGAGCAATCTTCCCCTAGATGTTATAAAAAAGGATGACAAAGAAGGGCAAGATTCTTCTGCCATTCATCTACAGTGACAATGGGTATCAGAGACACATGGCAATACCCTTATTTTTAGGGGACATCTTCACTCTCCTTCCTTTCTCAAGCTTGTGCCTAACAACTGCCAGAATGCAAAGTAAACACAACGAAACTACACAGATATTTCCACTCCTACTAGTAATTTTGAGAATCCTGATGGTAAAGTTGAGTAAGTGCAAGGGCATGTCCTTTGCCAGGACCACCAGGAGCCTGCCTACCAAACTCATTTGAATGCAGACACAAAAAACTTCAGGCAGGTCTGTATAACCTTCCTTAGTTCATAGCTCTTAATCTACCATTAGCCTACAGCAGGAGGTGATTACTACTTCCCTGTAAAATGTAAGCAAAACCAGAAATCTTTCTAAACTGCTGTCTGTAAAAGGTATTGCTTTGCACCATGAAGTATTTGCAACAGATCAAAGGCAAATAGGAAAGCCAGTGATGCCTTAAGCAAGAAAACTTTGAGCAAAGCAACTGTAATACCAGGTGATGGATCACATCAACCTCATTGCAAGCTAAGCCAACACCATTTGCCTACTTCTTACACCAATCACAAAAATAACAGCTTTTATACATAGTCATACAAAACTTTCCTGTAGGCTAGAACAATGGACAACAATATGCCATTTCAGACAATTATAGAAATTAGACTTTCCTTCCATATTTGGCTGAGGGAAGGGCTGCATTAAGAAAAACAGCAACAACTGCTCAAGTGCTGGAAGATAAAGAGCAGCTATACAAAACAATGAAGGGAAAAAAGAGACTTCATGCATGCACGAGTGAAGATTTTTTTTATTCGTACCTCATCACTTTCATCTACTTCAATACCACCATCTTTGTCATCATCCATTTGTTTATGGATCATGCGGAGAGCTTCTAGGCTGAATCGGTCCTCCTCAGTAAAGCATGGTGGGCTGAGTGAACTGCAGGGATCTAAAGTGGGGAAAAAAAAACAAAAACAAACCATTAGTTAGAGTCACTCCAGAATATAATTTTCCCAAGCAGAAGAAAGGGCTTAATTTCTGTATTGTGTACCTGTACTTCATTGCACATAATCACCAGGTAACAGACATCAAATTTAACTGTAAAATAATAATTATTACCAAAAAAAGCGAAAGGGGGGTGTGTGTAAATCAACTCTTTTTTTTATCCAGGAAGGAATCCCCAAAAATAAGCTGGAATAGTTTTGACACTTTGGTTTCTCCACCCCAGTAACTTACTATTTCCACTTTTTCTTCTATCATCCACCCTCAGTAACATGTCACTACAATAGCAAATAAAGTCGCTGCACTTCCCAACCTCCCTTCTGAACCTCTGGGCTACACAGAGAGCGGTGGTGGAGAAGGAAAAGAACTGTCATGTCATACAATCACAGCTTTATAAACAGATAAGAAAGGGATGGTAATCACATTGCAGATAGAAATCTAAGTCAGTAGTATTACTACTGAACACAAAATATTCAAAGAGGACTGCAAGAGAAGAAAGTGCACTGCAAAAAAATTTCAGCTGATCTATTTATATGACTATGCAATACATGATATATCGCACATGTACCCTCTGATTACAAACGGCAGTCGCTGTGGAGCACATTTCCAAGTCAAAAATAGTATGTTTTCATTTGCATTCATTACTGAAGGCTCATGATTCGTGCATAGCTTATGGCTCGGCTTGCACCACATCAGCCTGTTAAGTCTCTGTTCTTTCCCTTCTACAAGGCACATGCCAAATGCTCCAAAAATCTGCAATGCATGATGATCAACCATCATTACACTGGTCTTTCACAGACCTTGGCATTAACTAATAGCCACTATGTCATTAATTCTGATGTATCCAACACCATCAAAGAACAGAATGTGGAGAAGGATACAGAAATTATTTTTTGAAAGTTCAGCTTTAATAACATAGTGAATTCCCACCATGATAGCCATTATAAAAATGCAGTGACTAGTCCCATAAACTGGTGCACTACACTTTAATCAAAGCAAATACAAATTGAGGCAACATATGAGTAATTTTTGCTTCTTGTAGTCTATCAGACACTTAAGCTTTCATATTGCTACAGAATTTATTAAAAGGCACATTTATATAAGTAATGTAAAGGAAGCACAGAAATAGAGAGAATGAAGAGTTTGCACAGAAAAACTAATTTATTGTTTTACTATTTCATACTAGTTGGATTATCATGATTCTGCTTTTCTATTATGAATTCTAAAATAATCAAAAATCAAAAATAATGGAATGCATAAGGCTACAAAGTAGAAGAATGAAGATAACAACCACAACATAGTTGGAATCTCAGATGCATAATTACCATAACTGATTCCCAAGGCTAGATGCAAGTCAACGCATTCTTAATTATGGTCAAGTTTTATTATATAGAAATCAACAGAAATCTGTCTTCTATGTCCATGAACAAAAAGAACAACCAAAACCAAAACAAACAAAAACAAACAAACAAAAAAAATCAACGTTAAAAAAACTCAAACACCTCACTGACACTGTCCCAGAAGAGAGATGCTGCTTTTAGAAATAATTCATGTAATTCAGAAAGACAAACTTCTAAATCTCTTCTTTACTAAATTACTAGGTATTAAATATTACTAAATAATTCATTACTAAATATTAAACCAGGCCAATCGCAAACTATAATTTTCAACTTTGGAATGCAACTAATATTTTATTAAGAAAAACCAAGTAATTTTTTTTTATACTTTTAAAAAAATATCTATTTTATTTTTTCATCTTTGTTTTATCACAAAAGGTTTAATTTCACAATACTCAGCCTTTAAATTTTTGCCCTGCAATTAAAACATTAATATGGCCAGGGGCATTAAAGGACTCAGCCCTGAAATAAAGGACTATATAGAATTGCTGTAGAAAGGCTTCCCTTGCAACTGTAATGAATCACCTCTGCTAGTAATTAAATTCCAGTGGCCATGAAAAAGGGATATGAATTTACTTAAAATGCAACCATAAATTAGAAGAACCATCTTTGTATTACATGTTTAGATCTATACTGTATTTTAAGTTAGAAGAAAGCATAAGCATCAAAAACTGATAAAGAGGTCCCCCAAACACACCCAACTTGCTTAATTTGTACTTAGTTCTGTTCTTACATAGAAGAAAACGTCAGATAGTGTTCACAATTTGCAAGCACCCACTCAAATGTTCTTCCATTTTGTTCAGCTGAAAGCCCAGCTTTTCAAATCAAAAGGTTTTCTCTAAGTACAATTTCACACAGTTGAGCCTGATCAGTTCCTTAATCAGAGTACTTATCTTAAATATGCCTTTTTAGGATATTTAAGCATGAAGGCACTTTAAGGAGCTATGGTTCTTCTTGAGAGAAGTAAACAGGCTGCTAGTGCTTCAAATGTCCCACGAGCTGGCTCCAAGAACACTTGATCTCTCTCTTAAGAAACGATAGAGTGCCAATTGCTCATTTTAAGACTGAGAAACAGAGTAGGACCACATGTTAACTGTAATAAAAATTAACCCACTCTAAACAGAATCCAGATTTACTTTGAAGCTACTTACTATTATGAAGCTGGTAAAATTAAACATTCCCAGACTGACAACACGGGTCATCATCCCCTTCTTCAGAGAACAATCTCAAAACAAAAACAAATTAGAAAGCCACTCCAATCTAAAGAACAAGTGAAAAGCATTTCACAAGCACACCTATGGAGCCTTATCAGAAACTGAATCATCTGCAGCTCTGCAGAATATTCTATCATGCACTATTTTGCCTCAATTGCATGGTAAAAACGATTCAAATTAATACTAGATGAAGTATGGTTAGTTAACTGGCTATTTGGGAAGTTTCCAAGATAAAAGCCAAGAGGAAAAGTCTTAAGATACAGCAAACACCATAGATATAGCCCTGAGGCCCCAGAAGAAGTCATAAGACTAGTTGATAATTTATTTTTCACTTTGAATCCACCCTATTGAAGGTGTTCTGGGATTCCAAACCTTCTACTGTACTTTAAGGACAAACCTAATTTCACATCTGGACCAATTTCTCTGCCCTAGTCTGGTGTGTTGTCATAAATACACTTAGTCCAAAATGATCATCACAGGAAAAAGCAGAGATGATAAATTCGCCCATGGAATGAACAGATAGCTTGGAATTTGAGCCTTCCTTTAACAAAAAGCACAGAAGAATTAGCAAAAGCAAACAAAAGAGAGAAGGTGGACAAGAGGCATAAAAGCACAGCATATGTCACTCCAGGCACCAGTTATTTTACAGCCTAGTTTTTCATGTTGGTCAGAAGTGACAAAGTTTCAGAACTACTGGTCATAATAAGGAGGTAATTTCTTACTAAAAACTAAATGCCAAACTCATGGCTCAACAAACCTGGCATAGGATTTTGAAACAAACCCCTCTCCTGCCTTGAGGCAGAAACTGCCTCTCAGCTCTAAGGCAAGGGCAGAAAGTCTTCACCAGTCCACAGGAGTCTCTCACAAGAGACAGTCTGATAATGAACAAAGCACAGTTAACCAACCCAAGATACAGGAAACTTTGTATTTACAGGCCAGGGGAAAATACAACAGAAGTTAAACTTAGAAAGTGACACTGTCAACACAAGACATTAAGGAAAATTAATTACACTGATATCTTGATATCTTCAAGAGCTCATGTTAGTAAAGCCCTTGAAATTTATTTAGGGATACATCATTAGAAATGGTTCCAAATCAAAAGGGTATATGCACTGCATAGTCTTTCATCTATCCTGCACTTACTGCTGTGAGTGTAACAGACTTCAGAATGAAAAGGACTGACAGATCAACAAACGGCAGTTCTTTCTCACACACTTCCTTTGCATGTGGACCCTGGATCACAAAAGCTATGCCTATGCCAAAGCCTGTGACAGTGACCCCAACCAGGTGTTTGCAGTTCCAATCTGTCCCCAACGTGCCTGAGCCTTTGAGTGTTTTCAATGCCTGAAGGAGCCTTTTTAAGAACGAATGGACAAACAAAACCTTCGTGATTTTTCAGGGCTACCTGGAATCAGGTACAAACCATCAAATTTAAGATTTAAATGCCTTTAAATTTTCCCATTAGTTCACTCAGAGCAACTTAGCAGTTGGAAGTTTGGAGACCGACTACTACGTATCTCTTTTGTTCTGTGAGCGTTCACCAAGAAGGAAGAGCACTGTTTTTACGATAACATATGGCCGTCCTATGGAAACACGCAGTGTTTCCATGACTGCCTTTTACTGATGAATTCAGCACTGTTGTGCTAGGTTTATGATTCCTCATTCCTAAAAAGCCATCTGGAATAAAGGGAAGCCTCACAGAAAAGGCAAGCACTATACAGTGTCAGTTTCCTAAGTAAGTACTCTCAGCTTAAAATAACCATGTTCCAGCATGCCATGATGACAGAAGGGGATTTCTTTGCATTTTCCAGAGACAAAGAAGGTATCCACAATACCCCCAACCCCCTACCAAATGTATCTTCCCCTAACTAGGATTTCTATTTCCTTATATTTCTGTTGTGTTCTAGTTTTACATGTACTTCAATACATTACAGTTTCATCACCAATTCAAAATATGACTCCTTTCAATGCACAAAACCTGTAAAAGAACAAAAATTTTTGAAGACCTGAGTACAAATCTAAGTGTCAAATACAAGAGGGATTAATGAAATTACTGAAAAAAGCAAGTGTTTTCAAGAATTTTACCTGACATTCAAACAGCTATTCACAGTAAAGGCAATAAACATGTTTTTATCTTGAACCCTTACATAAGTTGTCAATAAAAATCTTCAAATGCTTGAGACACAGCCTCACAGTGAGCTTCGTTTAATCTTTCAATTAGAAGCTCCCAAAGCAAATCACTCCTACTCTTAATAATTAAACTCCTCCATATGGCAAGTAGGCTGAGCAGGATCTAACAGTTAACTTGACAAAGTAATTTGTGGCATTATTTTTCA